CCTTGGCGCAGGCTGGGGGACCCTCATAGGGACAAATCCTGGTGGAGGGGACCCCAAAGCGTGGGCAGGCTTTCTGCAGCTTTCTGCCCATCAGCCACCCAGCGCTGGCAGGAGGGTGTCTGGGAGCTCTTCCCCCTGTTGGGGTGGCTGCATCCCCTGAGACAGGATGGGAGCCGGCAGAAGAGCTGTAAAACTTGGCTGGGCAGCTGAAAAGAGGAAAAAAAAATGCAGTTCAGTCTAATTTTACTCTCTTCTATCCCTGCCTCCCTGCCTTCACTCCCTCCCCACCCTGCCCAGGCAGCTCCTGCTGCCCGTGGAAGGGTTGTGATGCCCAGCCTGGCTTTGGAGGCTCCCCTTGCCAAGGGGGTTTCTCCAGGCTGGGCAGGGAGATGGCATCCATCATCCAGGCACGGGTGTGACAACAGCAGGGCCAGTGCTAGTCCTGGGGCAGCGGGATTCCCAGCTCCAGAGGAGGATGCAGCTTTCAGCTTGGCTCATCCCATCCACCTTCTACTTTTAAATCCTGCTAAATACCAGCCAGCTTCCCCAGCGGGGTTGGGAGGGGGTGCTCTGAGGAGCCCCTGTGGGACAGCCATGCCCTGTGTGGGGTGGGGAGGGTGGCTGTCCCCCGGGGGCTGCCCAGTGCTGCCTGCGTTTGTCAAGGAGTGAGAGTCACAAATAGTTTTGTGCTGACTTTTCGAGGAGAGGTTTGGTTCCCCGCCGGCTGGACCAGCCGACAGCGGCTCTGACGCATCCCCCACCACCCTGCCCAGCTCCCACCGGTCCCGGCTGCCCGGACGGCTTGTAAAACCCCCGGAGGAGGAGACTGTACAGCCCAAGGGCTTCGAGGCCTGGCAGAGGAATTACACACCAAACCCCTCCCTTTGCAGGAATCAGCCTCAGGCTGGATGTGCAGGGACGAGGGAGGGTGGCCGAGGGGTGATACAGGGCGAGACCCCATCCCGGGGTGGCCCAGCCGTGGGCTTTCCCAGCCGGCCGAACCCAAAAATAGGTTTTATTGTGGGCAAAGAGGCTGCGGGAGCCTCACCCAGAAATGAGGGGCAACTGAGGCATCCCAAGCCAGCCCAGGTGCTGCAAACCAGCTGCTGCCCCATCAGCGTTGTGGGGTGTGCTGGGGTACGACGCTGTTATTATTTGTTATTATTTGCCCTGGGGCAGCATTTTAGGACTGGGGTGTGCTGGGCAGGAGGCAGACAGCAGGTTGAGGTGTTCCCTGATGTCCCATCAAAGCGTGAAGTGAGAGGGGAATGGTGGAGGTTGGTACCCATCACTCTGTCTTCTTACCAGGGTGTCTCTTGGCAGGACCAGCCTGTGCACAAGAGGGTTCCTGTAAAGGAAAGTGTGGAAAGACACGGATCAGCCCTGCCTCAGGTGTGCTGTAGGATGCTCATCCCTGGGTGCCCAGGGTGGCCCATGGCACTGGGGCTATAGGGTGCTACAGCAGACGCTGCTGAGTGGTGCCTCTGGATGGTTTGATCCATGGATTTGAGGCTGCAGCTGGGAAATTCCTGCTAAATCCTTCCCGGAGACAAATTGCCATCAGTGATCATCACCCAGGGGCAAGGTTGGGGCCAGATCCTGAAGCCACCATCTGAGCCTTTGCCCCCTTGTCACTCCACCATAAACCTGAGCGGTTTTTGGTCTAAACACTCCGTTTCAAAGCCATTTGTGACCCCCCTCGCCAGCGGGAAACACATTTACACCATCGACGTGTTTTATTCCCCAGCGGCCCGGCCCATTTGGCAGGGGTGGGAGATACGGTGTCCTGTGAAACAGCTGCAGAAACATTTGGTGGGAGAGCTGCTAACAGAGACACCTCTGTGCCCCGGGCTGCGGTGGGAGGTGCGGGGGCTGCGGGGTTTGGAGAGACCCCACGGGACAAACGGCTGTCAGGAAACACCCCTGAAATGGTCCCGTGCAACGTGATGGACCATCCAGGGGGGAGCTGAGAGGGATGGAGAAGGTCCCAGAGGGCACTGCTGGTACCCGGGGCCAGCTGTGGCCCAGATGTGAGCTCCTTCTTCATGATGAGCCCCTTTTTATGGACCAGCATCCCGAGTGACCCAGACTCCCGGCCACGTAGGGATGCTGGTGGCCGGGCAGGGTGGCCCAACCGCTGCTGGGGACAAGCCCAGGCTCCTCAGGAGCTGCCCTTCCAGCCGCTGGGGACCAGCCCGGGCTCCTCAGGGGTTGACCTTCCAGCCGCCGGGGCCACCCATGGATCGCGGCGGCCGAGGAACTCGCGCAGCGCCGAGCACGCTTTAAGGTGGGCCCCACCGCCGGCCGTGCCCGCTTTAAGGCGGCCCCTCCTGGAGGCGGGGCGTGGCGGGGGGGCGGTGCCCAGTGACGCGCGGTGGGCGGGGCCTCAGGAGGGGCGGGGCTGGTCCCGCCGCAGCGGCAGCTCCGAGGCGGCGGCGGCGGCGGCAGCGC